GCGATGGACGCGCTGGACAAGACAGACATTGTTCAGCGACTCACCCACACGGACAGCAACAGCAACAGCGATGGGGACCAACCCACACAGCCGGTACAGTAAGCAGCTGCAGAGACACTGACTGACACGAGCGAAGGGAGGAGAGGGCCTCATTTGACTGTGTGTGTCCAGGTCGAGCCACAAGCTCCACAGCCACAGCCAAACCAGCAGCCGACGCAGTGTGTGTTGAGTCAGAGCCAGAACCACAGTCAGCTGCCCCCGTCGCAGCCCACCCAACAACCACTGCCAAACAACCCGCAGCCCGTCCCCCTCCCTCCTCCTCTCGCCCTCCCCCTCTCAGTCCAACAGCCGCCCGACGTGCCGCTCTTCGCAGCACCAAGCCACCACAACCAGCAAGGGCAGCACAAGAAGCGCGGTCGACCGAAGGGCAAGGCCAAGGGCAAGGCGCACGGCAAGACACAGATCAACAAGAACACCAAGACACGCAACAAAGGAGGTACGTACACACGCACGAAAAAGTCCATCAGACCAGCCCACACTGCTCTTCTGCGTGTCATGTGATCAATCAGGTGCAGCCAAGAAGAGGGCACCGAGGCCACAAGCACCAGCAGCGGCACTCGTGGCTGTCAAGACAGAGCCGACCGATGACGAGCCGCCACGCCCCACACGAGACAACGACGACGTGCCGTCGCTGTTCCGTCGTCGGCTGAGTGCCACATTGCTGGACAGCGTCGAGTGGGTGTGCGGTGTGTGTGGCAGTGACAGCGAGCGGCAGTCGTGTCTGGTGCTGTGCGAGGGGTCTGGGAGTGCGAGCCATCTGTCCTGCCTCACGCCGCCACTCACACGGCCACCCTCGGGCGACTTCATATGCAACGACTGCGTGCAGGTCAGACAGACAGACACAGAAGGAAGAAGAAGCAAAGGAGAAGTGCGGCGTCCATGTGTGTGTTTGTGTCTGTGACGTGTCAGCGGAAGGGCTTGGTGTGCGGTGGGAAGTTTCAGCGTGGCGAGATCTGTTGGTGTGCGGTGCGGAGCGGTGTGAGTGAGCCGTGCTGTGTCGTGCAGTCATCGCACAACAGCACTGACGGCGACACCTATCAAGTCATCGCTATCGGAGACACGCAACACAACAGGTACACACACATGTGCGTGCGTGGCCAATGGAGGCGCACACACTCTTGTCTGCTGTGCGTGTGTGGATGTGTCAGGGTGTGTGCGTCGAGTGGTGTGATGGTGGACTGGGAGCAGGGGCTGGCGCGATGGCAGCGGATGCCCACACGCACACAGGAGGCCGACACACAACGACTTCGAGGGGTCAGCGACGCCATACACATCCTCGCCGGCACCAAAACCATACACGACATCATCATTGCAAACAAACCGACAAGTCAGATACCAAACCAGACGGAATCACATACGTCCACCGTCCATATGTCTGTGTGTGTTTCAGGTGGTGGCGAGGGGGAGCATCGCATGGACGTCGCGCCACCAGAGCAGCCAGAGCAGCCGAGACGCAACAACAAGAAGAGACCGCCCTCACGTACACCAGACACGCAACCACCAGACAGATGCATGCCCGCTTGCCAGTATCGTCTCTGCGTGTGATCCTGCCTTTGTCCATGCATCAGGTGGATTGAGTGTCGTCAGCCCCCGCAGCAACAACAACAAGAGGCGTCGCCATCGCGGCCGCCGTCCCCATCGATCAGACAGCCCGGCAGACAGCCTGATCGACCGGAGTGTCGTGGGCGAGTCGGCCAAGGCACTCATCGCCCGAGTGCCCCCGCCTACCAGACAGCCACTCTGCCACATCGCATCCACCAAGCCACAGCCGCACAGGGACGGCATCGGGACCCTGAGACGCCCCCCCACCATCATCAAGAACCCAATCACCATCAAGCCACGCACACAACAGGCACAGCCCCAGCAGCAGCCCGCCCCACACCCACACAACAAGCCAGCCGTGATCAAGGCCGCGCCAGCCGCCGATGCCGATGCTGCTGTGCAGAGACAGAGCAAGAAGCCATCGCAGCCACGGCCACCCATCAACAAGAATGACCACAAGAAGGGCAGAGAGGACGGCAAACAGCACAAACAGCAGGAGCAGCCCAAGTGAGCCACAGGGGGACACAAGAGATCTCTGTGTGTCTGTGTGTATTGATGTGTGTATTGTGTTGTGTTGATGTCAGTCGTCCGTCGCGTACGACTCAGCGTGCCTGTGTGCTGGCCAACCCTCAGGCGTACGTCAACCAGAGAATCACCTGCAAGTGGAAGGACGGTAGGTAGGGAATGATTAGAGGCCAACACACAACACACACTGGCCAATATCTGTGTGTTGTGTGTTGTGTTGTGCAGGTGTGTGGCACAGTGCACGTGTGGTTGCGTATGACACCCTGTCGAAGCTGCACGACATCACGTATGACGACAACAAACAGACCAAGTCCAAAGTCGGACTGCACAGGTCCGCCACAGCGACACAGAGACACAGAGACACAGACCCACACCAGGTGCACCTCCTCTCGTGTGTCGTGTAGATGTACCTTTAAAGTGCTGTGATGATCAGTGAGGCACGTCAAGTCGACACACAGACCGATCAGATCAGATCAGATCAGACAGACAGACCCTCATGTGCGTGCCTGGCTTCACGTGTGCGTATGTGTTTCGTGAGGTGAGGCAGACAGACAGACCTGATTGGTTGATGTTATCCAATGCATTGACGCATACACAGGTGGACACGACTACATGCATGATCGAAGGGATGGACGACCGTGCATCGCATAATAAAGATGTCTTTCCACGATATACCAAACGTCATAATTAACGCATTCACGACTCGCTCACTGTGAACCGTGCTTCTCATGCCACTGAAAGGAATAAACACACACACACACACACAAGCGAGACACACTCGCTTCATCTATGCATTCGTGTGTGTGTCGTCACCTGTTGGTACTTGACGAAGGGAATGTGTGAGGCCGGCCGGGTGCTCGCCAAGGCAGCAGATATGTCGGCAGCACTCACAGCCTCCAATCCAACACCACACGCACAATCTGCTGCTCCGCTCTCATGGGGCTGTGGTATGCCCTCTCTGCAGCCCTCGCCGCCCGTCTCGCCCTCCTGCGGGGCGCAGTCAGCAGTGGGCGAAGACTCGAGCCGCTGGAGGAGCCTCCTCAGAGGTCTCATGGCGGCCTCTTTGCACAGCAGACGAATGTCCGAGCCCGAAAACCCCTGGAAAAGAGGCGATGGTGTCATGAACAGAGGGGTTCCGATACTAGCGGTATGCGTCACCTCAGTGCGTCTGGCAAAGTCACTGAAGTCCAGGGGCTCTGCCGCTCCCTGGATGACAAACACAGAGATACGCACCCACCTGTGTGCACCAGGAATTCACCCATCGCACACCCCACCCCACCGGCGGCAGAAAGTGCCTGAAGAGGGAAGTGCGTGCAGCAGGGTCAGGGAGATCCACCAGTATCTGACGGCACCGACAACGATCATGGAGACGCAACACAGCCCACAAAGACGGATCCGATCCGCACTTACTGTACCCTCTTTTCGAATCTTCTGAGCATTGCAGCATCGAGGTCCCAAGGTAGGTTAGATGCAGCGAGGAGGAAGACCCCCCCGTCGTGTTGGCTGCCCAGCAGCCCGTCCATCTGGATGAGCAGCTCGGTCTTCATCCGTCGGCTGCCCTCGTGCTCAGTGTCGGCCGCCCCTCTTTGGCTCATGATGGCGTCCATCTCATCTGCATCAGTGCAAGGTATGGGGGGTCGGTCAGCAGATATGTGTGTGGGCATGGCTGTAAGCACCGATGAAGATGGTGGATGGCTGGTGGTGTCTCGCCAGCTCAAACAAGACACGGACCAGCTTCTCGGAGTCTCCCCTCCATTTGCTGACGATGGATGAGGCGCTGATGTTGAAGAAGGTGGTGCGGCACTCGGTCGCGACGGCCTTCGCTAGCAGTGTCTTGCCCGTGCCGGGGGGACCGAAGAGCAGGATCCCCCGCCATGGCGCCAACAAGCCCGTGAAGAACCTGACGTAGCGGAAACAAAGGGGGTCTGTGTGGGTGTCTCGGTGCTTTCGTCCTGCTCACTGCGGATATTTGTGTGGCATGACGATGGCCTCCTTCAGCAGAGATTTGGCCTGCACACAGATGCACGCATCCATGGACAAGGGACGGCGTCTCTAGAGCGACAATGGCTGACCCTGTCCAGGCCGATGATGTCATCCCACGGCACCCCGGGATTGCTCGTGCATATGTCTCTGCGTAGGGACCAACAAAAGCCATGGACGTCATCCTGATCCGTCTGCCCGTTTGAACAACTGGTCTGACTGACCTTGTGATGATTTGTGTCAGCTCCTGCCTCTCTGTATCGAAGGCGGCGACGGGCGGACAAGGCCTCAACAGCTGACTCGAATAATACTCAGACCCCGCGTCAGGCGCCCCAGCAGAAGAAGACACCTGCCCCCCCGCTCCCTTGTTCTTTCTCACAGCCTGTCCCGTCAGCTGTAGCAGGGGCCCGTCACCACTCCCCGCACCCAGGTTCTGTGTCACGGACGGCAAGTCGTCATCTTCATCAGGAGCCGACGATGACGCCGCATCGGCCACACCGCTCTTGCTGGACCCCTTTCTTTCTCTCGCCCTCCTGGCAGCGATTTGTTTGGTCTTTGGGCTGAGCGCTGGCTGAGGATTGGTGCCTGGGGATGAATAGCGCCGGGGAGGAGGTGGGGGCATGGGGTGGGAGGGCATGTCGGTCTGAGCGAGGCGGGGGAGCACACCCCCTGCGTTGTGGTTGAGGTGTGAGGCGCTGCTGGGGCAAGGCCGTGCGGTGGCTGCCTGAGTCCCGGACTTCCTTGTGAACCTTGGCGCCTTGTCGAAACGCAGCTGATACCACTCCTCGTACTCCTGCACAGCACGATAGGCACACGCAAGGCAAGCAGAATGCCGCCTCTCCTCTCCTTCCTTCGGTAGACCTGACTGACCTGCATGACGTGCATGAGATCCATGTTGTCCGCGGCATCCACCTTGTCAAGATCAACGCCGGTCTCCCGCTGGATCTCACGAGCGCTCTCAACATACCTGCAGCCAAGAGGCCACAGATATATGATGCACAGAACAGCAGGCACCGGTGGCACGCGTGGCCAGGCCCTGCCCACCCCTGATCCAGCAAGAATCGTGTAGCGAGGACCACTGCGCTTTTCCTCCTCTCCTGTGCCCGTTTCTCCTCCGTGAGGCGCGACTCGCCCTCCGCTTTGATGCGGGAATACACCGACGGCAGGCTCGACATCGATGTGAGTACTTGAGACGCCCCCAGCGCGGCCCCCGTCTTCCGACTCGGAAACTTTCTCGCCTGCCCGCGGCCGCTGCTTGCAAGTTGCAACCATGGTGAAGGACGAGAAGGCCAAGGAGAAGAAGAAGGACAAGGACGACAAGAAGGACAAAGACAAAGATAAGGGGAAGAAAGACAAGGTAGGTACACAAAACCACGGGAGGCAGCGGGCCGTAACTGTAACGGCATTACAAGAGAGGGCCCCGCCATGCGCTACGCACAAGGGTGTGATTGGTCAGGACAAGGACAAGAAGAAGGAGGATGAGAAGGTGAAACGTCCCAAGGGCAAGCTGACGGCCTTCTGGATCATCACCAGCCTCCTCGGCCTCACCGGCTGCCTCATGGCCGTCATCTCAATCGGCCTACCATGGCGCGTCGGCGAGCCAATGAGCATATTCACCTCGTCCAAGTACTACACCATATTCGGAGCTCAAGGCAACGGGTCAGGGTGCATGAGACACACCCACAACACAACACAATCGCCGGCCGGCTGCATGTTCGGTAAAAGAGAGTGTGCGTGCGTTATTTCTGAGGACAGGTATATGTCATGGAGTCTGGTCGCTCAGCAGACGTGCGACCGTTCCAAGCTGCTAGGCATGGGCGGCGGCATAACGCAGATGACCTGCGCGGCCACGGGGCCCATAAATGAGCAGTGCAATCTGGCCTTCCAGAAGCACGTCCGAGACAGGTGCACGGGCTACAGGTTCTTCGGCTCCCTCAGCATGGCGGTCAGTGAGGGAGGGAGGGAGCGAGGGAGGGAGCGAGGGAGGAGTGAGGAGGCCGGCCAGCCTCACAATGAATGGCTTTGGATTCTGGTGTGTCAGGTTGTGGCGTTGATAGGCATCCCAGCAGCGTGTGGGCTGTGCGGCTCCATGTACATCTGCATGGGCGGATACGACTCGCCCATGTGAGTCGGGGTAAGTACTGGAGGACTGGACTGGCTGCTGACTGACTGACTGATCCACAAATGAGACATCAAACCACCAAATGAGCATTTGTCTCCCTCTCTCTGCTCTGTCTATGCGCGCGCCTGTCTCCCCTCTTTCTTTGTCCAGAGCTGTTTCTGCTGCGCGGCCATCGGCATCAGCATCGGCGGGGGTCTCTTCACCTACATGGTGGACTACTACATCAAGCTCTTCCGCACGACGGCCGTCTACCCATACCCCGTGCCGTCCGCTGGCCCATACCTGTGCTTAGGGGGCGCCGCCGTCACCCTCCTCCCCATTGTGTGCGCCGCATGCGCCGAGCTCTGCACTCAATTCACCATGTGGCGCGAGCAGTCTGCCAAGAATGCTGAGGTCGGTGTGCAGGCCTGACCGACAGAGAGAGAGACATAGAGACACTCGACATGCGTGTGTGGGTGTCTGTGTGTGTGTGTGTGTGTGTGTAGAGGTTGGCTGCTGAGGCCAAGGCGCGTGAGGATGAGTTGGCCAAGCAGAAAGAGGGGGAGGCCGGGCAGGCAGCCGCCATGATGCCACCTGGTAGGCTCACACTGAGACACTGACGCAGCCAGACACACAGACAGACAGGCAGACATGTTGCAGGTGCTGTCTGTCTGTGCTTGTCTGGTGCTGCCTGTCTGCAGGTGGGATGCCTGGTGCCATGCCTGGGATGCCTCCAATGGGAAAGGCACCGCCAGTCGGCAGGGGGGGCCCGCCAGGTCAGTCAGTCGTACAATAGACAGACAGACACGTGTGTCGAGGCGCAGACAGAGAGCGAGTTGGCTGTGTCAGATTGGATGTACCGTACGTGTGTGTATGTGTATACAGGCGGTATGCCTCCACTTCCCCCCGGCTTGAGTATGGCGGGGAGGGGAGCACCTCCCAAAAGGTGATGGATGGATGCGGGGGTGAGTGACACTAATTGTCTGTGGGATGGATACGGACGGATGGGATGGGATCAATGTGCGACACACTGTCGGATCCATCGGATGTGTGTGATGATTGGATTGATGCTGGCTGTGAGTGAGTAAGCTTCGCTTCCCTCTGTCACGTTCGTTGACTGTACTGCATGAGGGTCCATCCATCCATCCATCGATGTCTCAATCCCGTCCATATGTCCCATAACGTTACGCACGCACGCAAGCAACCGACTTCCATCGACGATATCTCTGTACCAATCACTGTACACACGAAGGCTTAGAAAAAGCCCTGCCTCCCTGTGTCTTGTCTGTCTGTCTGTCTGTCTGGACAGGGAGGGAGCCCCTCCCATCTCTCATATCTCTCTCTCTCACACACACACACACACAAGGGGGCAGGCAGGCAGGCAGGCAGGCACACAGAGCCCGCCACGTAGGTATGCATGTCTGTGCATCACATAAGTATACTTATCTCCATCTCTCTCTCTCTCTCTCTCACACACACACACACACACACACACACAGAGGGCGCGCACACAGAGAGGGCGCCCACCCCACACAAGGCGCGTCACGACCAGCCAGCCAGCCAGCCAGCCAGGCAGTCATGCGACCGATATCGATATCGTACACACACACACACACATGGTATGGCGACACGCAAATGGATAGATAGGATAGATAGATGGCACCAACACCGACACGAAGGAAGGAAGGACATACGAAGCGAAGCACACTTTGGCGGGCAGTGAAAAACCTCCAGCCGGTGTCCTCTGGCGGGCGATATATGCCACAAAGCATTTATTTCGCTGGCCATTCACAAACACCAGCCAGCCGCCTAGCCAAGCCACGCCTCCACCCTCCTCCCCCAGTGAGCAGACCAGACAGAAGGAGGAAACCAAACCACCGTCCATCCATCCATTTTACCCATCGAAGCCGGCGTGTGATACCAACAAACCGCCGGCAGCTTGGTGCCCTCCCTCTCCCCCACACACATCACAGCGACTGCACACAACTGCCTCTCTGTCTGTCTGTCTGTCTTTCTGTCATATCCCCTGCCTCGGCCTCGGCCTCCCCCGCCCTTCCCCAGCGACACACGCTCAGCTAGCAGGCCAATCGTTCCAGCACCCACCCCCTGCGCATCACTCCACTGAGCTGCCATCGTGCGTTGGCCCGTGTGAGCAGCAGCACCCGCTGCTTGACTCGCGAGAAGCCCTCCTGGTGCTCGGCCGGCGTCTCGAAGGTCAGGGTGAGCTCGTGCGGCCGGTGCACGCGATCCACGGCCACGTGCAGCAGCTCGTAGCCAGGGGGGCGGGTGGTGCTCCGGCTGAAGGTCATGACGCCACTCGCTGACACCCCCTCGCACAGCTGCTCCGCCGCGTTGCAAGCAGTGTACGCCTGCACAGACCACACACTCACAGGGGTCGTTGCACAGGCGCTCTGCCTCCCTCTCTCTTGGCTTGTTTACGATTGCCTGATTGTGCAGGTGTTGTCCTTTGGCGAGGCGCGACTTGAGGACCGACCCTGCGTCATTGGTGAAGGCCTTGCACACCGACAGGAGGTCCCGCAGCGAGGCGGTGGAGGTGCAGGGGAGGGCGAGGTACACATAGAGGGGCGACGAGGGCACGGGGGGTAATGACGGGTGGTGCACCAGGCTGTCAGACATACACGGCGCGCCTCTCTTCCAGATCGTAAGGGCTTAGCTTGCAGACTGCCCCCAAAATCCGGGCTCGCCTCTTTCGGCCCCAAATCTTGCCCAGTTTTTCTTTTTTCGCCTTTATCGCGCTTGAATAAAGGCTTCCGCGATAGCTGCAGTAATATCCCACACACCACAGTTCGTACGCGCCCTTCCTGCGTCTTTGATTGTCTCAGCTGGCGTCTCATTTGCTCGGCGACGCGCTATTGGCGACGCGGCACCCTGGCTGCCCACCTCTACCGCTGGCTAGCGCTCATCACATTCACCCTTGTCATCGCCGGCAATGCCGCATTCTCTGCAGTGCTGTCCTTGACCATCATGTCGTCGAGTAGCAAACGGTGCGGCAATAAGAAGACCGTTCTCGTCAGCTTTGGGGGCGGGGGTTCCTCGGCACAGCACACCAGTGCCGCAGCGTTCCCCATCGACTACGTCTCGTCCGTCCCCCATGTCCCCCTGCAGCCGCCACCGTCGTCCTTCCTGTCCACGGCTGAGACGAAGCGCAAGTCGTCCTCTCACCAGAGTGGCGCTGTCCCCCCCGCCCCGCCCCGGCTGGTGGACTGCATCAGCTGGCCGACACTCGACAAGACCGAGACGTCCGCACGGAAACCTTCCCAGCAGCAGCAGCAGCAGGCCAATAGAGGGGATGACAATGACAATAAGCCACAGCAGCAGACCCAGCGGCAGCAGCGGGGAGGGGCAGGGGGAGACAAGAGTTCTGTGTCTCGGGATGCGTCGGTGTCTGCGGGGGATAATAACGGTGACCTGGAGGGGCGGATGCAGGCGTGGGGGGTGCGGTGTTCGCTGGAGGACTGGATGAGGATGCGCAACCTGCCCGCACTGCCGGCGGGGATCGACAAGGTGTCGGAGTCAGTCCAGCAGCACATTCTCAGGAACTGGCCACTCATCGTCCGGTAGGCACACGGCACACACAAGGCATGAAGGAGGGGGGAGGTAGAGGGAGATGCTCTGCACGTCGATGTGTGTCCCTCACGGTACGTGTCAGGCGTGACGGTACGTTTGAGAGTTGGAGTGAGCAGATGAAGGGTCAGCGGTCGGCCGATGAGATGTACGCGGACCTGCAGACCTACATCGACGAGCACAGCGTCAAATTCGCCACCAAATGGAAACAAGAATTCGAGGAATCAACCAGACAGTCCGTCTGCACACCAAACCTCCATCCATCCATCCATCTACATGCCTTTTGTGTGTGTGTGTGTGTCACATGCAGGTTCCCTCGTGAGTTGGTTGACCGTCTCAGGGCCAAGATGGTCCAGTGGGTGCTCTCGGACCACTCAGTGCGGGGATGCTTCTTCCTCTCGCCCTCCCGCCTGGCCTACCTGCTCTGCCGTTGGCCCTTCGTGGGGCCTGAGGGGGACTACCGGACGGTGCTGCACGGCCTCAAGACCTCCTGGAAAGTCACAAGCTCCTTCTACAGCGCTGTGGGCATCGTGGCGCAGGGACGGACGTTGCTGTGAGTGCACGAGACACATGCGCATACTGCGTGTGGCCGAAGGTGGTATCTCTCCTCCTCTGTGTGGGCGTGTGCAGGCCGGTGATACTGCCTCGCGAGATATTGAGCAACGTCTATGCGATTGAGGACGAGTTTGGCCTGCCTGAGGAGTCCATCGTCAAAGTAGGTGCAGTGCGGGGCGGGGCGGGAGAGATGCTTGCACAAGGCACCCTGCTCGCCTTGAGCACACACACACACACTTGCGGATGCAGGTAGTCAAGTTGTTCCGCATCCCCGGCCACGTGGACCACTTCATCCGCATGTGGCGCAAGAGCGCGCGCGGCGAATCCCACCCACCGGCAGGCCCTCAGCTTGACACCCGAGACACCACCGCCAACACAGACACAGCGAACGAGGCCACACATACCGAGCAACCACCACCACCAGCAGCAGCAGCAGCATTAGCAGCGCCCCCAGACTTGCCGCAGCTCACAGTTGGCGACCATCGCTCCGACCTATACCGCGAGTTTGAGGAGGCCTGGGCGCAGGCGGCCGTCAGGGGCACCAAGAGGCAGCCGCTCGAGGGAGGGCTTGTGGGGGATATGGAGGGCGTTTGCAGTGGGGGTGCGAGGTTTGTGCCTAGGAGGGGCGGTGGTCCCCTGCTGGCGGGCCGCACCGAGACCATTCGGCACTTTGAGGCGGCGGCCAGCCGATTTGCGAGGGAGAATGTGTATGCGCATGAGCCGCTCAGTGGCAGCCTCAAGGAGGCTATTCTCCTGGGAGACAGGTAAGCCTAGCGTGTGGATGTCTATCGTCTGGTTTGTATCGATGCAGGTGTGTATTGTGTGCCCGATGTGATGTGCCTGCCACTAAGAACAGGGGCGAGGATTGTCCTGAGATGGCGTCTCTGCGTGCGTTGGCTTACTCGTGGGGGCTACACGAGGACACCGTGGTCATGCTCACCAACTCACTCACACCAAAAGAGGTAGGTACACACACACCGATTTTCCCGTCCACAGGCCCACACGTACGCGCCCGTTTTCACCGTATCAGATATCGACGATCTTCCGGCGGGCGGAGTCGCGTGACTCGCGTCTGCCCTCCCCGCTCATCGTTGACTCGCTCACCATCCACCCGCCCCTGACGCCCTCTCCCCATGACAAGCCGGCCCTGCCGCACTACAAGAAGGAGAAAGACTGGACCATCCTCAACATGGCCAGGCGCATCGTCCGCTATGGCGACGACTTTGACGACAACGAGGAGGACATCGACACGATGGCTCAAGGGGAGGTGGGGAGTGAGAGCGACCATCATTACGATCAGAGGCCGGGTGTCCCGCCCCCTGTGCCCCCGCCCGTGGTGACGGAGGAGACCTTCCCCAGGCTGCTTAATGGCCATGATCGGGAGCTGCTTCTGCTTGACCCCTGGAGGGCGCAGCAGCAGCTGCAGCGGCAGGAGGAAGAGGAGGACCAGCACGACCTCACCCCCGAGTATGAGCAGCTCAGGCGCACCCGGGGCTCATTCACCCACCTCTCCGCCCTATACCAGCCACCACCACAAGCACCGCCTGCCCGCAGCACCTGGTCCACTAGTGGCGGGTTTGCCTCCCTGTATCCCTTCCCCCTGTCGTCGCATTACCCGTGGGAGCACGACGCGGCGTACGAGGCGGAGACACAGCGGTGCTCTCTGTTCGCTGCCGATCCCGTCGGCGTGATACGGGCTGCTGGCGAGAGGGGGGTGGTGGTGGGCGGCAAGGGGAGGAGTGGGAGGAGTCATCGGGGATATATCATGGCGGATAAACCTGCCGACGAGGCGCTGTACCGTCCCTTCAGCGTGTCTCGGTGTCACGGCGGTGGCCTTGACCTCAATCAGGAGGTGCACAAGGCCCACGCGATGATGGTGCAGCAGCAGATGCGGCACAACTACACCCACAGCCAGCACAAGGGTGTCGCGGTGGTCAGGAGGGATGTGCCCCACGAGAAGGACAAAGACAAGCAGGAGCCGTCAGCCGTCACAACCACCTCCTCGTCCGCTTCCTTCGTCTCCCAGCAGATGCTCCCCTCCCGCCCCACCACACCCACCCTCCATCCCACTCACCACCACAAACACAGCAGCAGCACCAGAGACAGGACAGGGACAGACGGCACCCACCCGCCACCCCTCATCGAGCTGCTCCAAATCGCCAACGCCTCCCAGTACCACGGCGTGTTGGCCGCTGAGGGCCTGGACGCCGTCGATTTTTTGAGGCAGGTAGTGAGCGACAGCCAGCTGGCGTGTCGGTGCCCGACTGTGCCGCGGGAGACGCGCAGCAACATCATGCGGACGGCGGACAAGCTGGCGCACGGATACACACTGCGGATGGAGGCCATTGCGCCGGCAGCAACGGCCGTCGACACACACACAAGGGAGAGGGAGAGGGAGAAGGAGAGGAAGAGCTCAAGTGCCAAGATCACGCCATGACAGATGGGATGGGTGGATGGAGAGGGGGTGGTGTACCATATGCGCATCGGCGTGTGGCGGTGCCGAGTGCATAGACTGGCGTGCGTGCGTGTGGTTGTTGGACTGAGTGAGTTGAGTGACAAGACAAGCTGACGGCAGACAGATTGATGAACGAATACGTCTCGATCAACGAACGAACGGCCTGTCGCATTTCTGTATGCATCCATGCACGAGAAGCCTCTCGTCACACAACAAACAAACAAAACACCACCATGACTGTCCACCCCTCCCCTCAGCCAGCAGCAGTAGCCCTGTCTCTCTCCAGCTTCTGCCGCCTCTCTTCACACAACGCCAACAGACTGCTCGTCGTTGAGTGTGCCTGCGTGGCCATCAGCGGTGAAGGCACGCCATTGACCCCATCCTCCACCGCCCCAGCATGTCCATTCTGCAACACGCCATCGCTCTCCATCTCCCCCAGACCAGCAGCATCAGCCATGACCACCGCGGTGCCTTCCGTGGCAGCTGCCTGCTGATGGCCTCGTTGGGTCGCCGGCTGCACGGTGTCTTCTTTGGCCGCCGGATCGTTGCTGGCTTCGACTTGTTGATCCTCGTCGTGTTCATCTCGACTGCCCTCCACATCCCAATCCACAATGCGGCGGACGGCCTCGCCGTCGGACGACAGCTCGAGGGCTGACGAGCCCTCCAGACACTCGCGGATGAACTGAGTGGACACAACACACGACACACACGTGATGCTAAGGTGTGACTGGATGGGCGTGAGGGAGCTGGGCTTATACGTTTAGGTCCTTTGATGGTAGGAGGGTCTTCATGCGATTGAAGTTCGCAACGAGCTCGAGCGACACCCCTGATGTGAATGAGCACAACAGACACACAGACATCCTTTGTGTGCTGGTTGTGTGTGGCGGCGGTTGGTGGGCTGGGCTGGGCTGGGCTGCTTACATCCTTGGTCATTGGCCTGTGACCTGAGGAACGCATCTCGGTACCAGTTGTCATCGCAAAAGTAGTAGTGCACCTGCCGCCTCACCGCCGCACGAGTGCGGTCCAACTTGCGCTCAACCAACCTGACACACACACACAGGAAGGAATGGACACTGTCGATATGGATGGCGTGGTGGGATGCGGGAGCTGGTCAACTGACTTGGCGATGTCTTGCCCCGGCATGGCCACAATCTCCCCCACCAGTGGATGATGAACCTTCGTCTCCCCACTACTCGTCGATGCCTCACCACCACCACCACCAGCAGCCGGTGCTGTCTTGGGCGGCGATGCCATCCTCTTGTCCTTCTCCGCCTTCTCCCTTTCCCTCTGCCTCTTCTTTTCCCTCGCTGCCCTCTCCCTCTCAGATTCGTCGCTGTCCTCTTCGTCGGCATCGATCACGTCATAGACCACACGACGCTCCTGCTGCTCCTGCTGCTGCTGCTGCTGCTGTGGTTTGTCGGTCACGCCACCTCCGCCTCCACTGGCACTCCCCGCAGCTGCAGCCAGGCGATTAAGCACGTACAAGGGGAGAGGGGGAGGGAGGGCGGGGGGAGCAGGGGCAGCCTTTGTTGGCTTGTCGGCAGGCTCCTTGGTCTGCTTCTTGGAGACCTTGACGCCCCCCCTGGGGCTCGTGCGCGGCCGGGAGGTGTGCACAGCCACCTGGAGTAGCTCATCCTCTGTGTGCTCCACCTGCACAACGCAATAGCACCACACACGTGTGTCGCGCTGCAGATGCGTGTAGTGTTGCCTGTCCTGTCGTGGCTGCGTGACCTACCTTTCTGTTGTTGTAGTAAGATTGTAGCCTGATGGTTCGTGTGTCAAGGGCGATGCCGACGCACCGCGCCAGCTTGAAAGCTGACACCTGCGGGCAGCCCTCCCTCAGCTCCAACACACGGTACTTGATCAGCTCACCAACCTGATGATGATAGCGAGCATCGACACCATGAGCATCGTACACACACACACATGGACGGCGATCCGTAGCTATGGCATGTGGTGTGTGCGGACCCACCTTCGGCGGCCGATTGATGGGTCTGAAGTCGAACTTGGCCTCATCGCCATCCGCCAGGTCCTCGTCGAGGGCCTCTCCCTCTCCCTCTTCGTCGCCGTCCCCATCCCCATGTCCGTCTTGATCCTCCACACCCATCTGCTGGTCCGCAGGCCCGTCAGCGTGTTGCGGCGGTGCTGCCGGCATTGTCTCATCAACCACCGCCTCGGCAGCCACCCCTGCCTCACCATGGTCTTCCTTCTTCGTGCGCCGCCTGCGTACTCGCTTGTGCCGCGACTCGCCCACTGCCGCTCCTGTTGCGTCCACCTGCTCGTCGTCCCTCGGCCGCTTGCCGGCGACTGCATCTGGGGGAGGGAGAGGGACCCGGTCGATGCTCCTCTCTGCCTGGCAGTTGTCATTGTCATGTGTCTGTGGCTCGGTCTTGACGGGCTGCATGGGCTGGGCGAGTGGAGGAGCGGTGACGACCATCATCTCCTGCTCATCGGTGCGGGCAGAGGCGGCAGCTACAGCAGCGGAGTCCCGCTGCTGACCCACCAGATGCACCCTGACACTCACCAAAGCCAGAAGGTCATGCATTGCCGCTGTCTGTGTGCGTTGTGCATGTATGTGCCCACCGGACGACGTCAGTGTCCCGGAGGATGCCCAGCGGCTGTGACGGCGGCAGCGTGAAGCCATCCAGTGACAGATATGGCACACGAGGAGCAGCCAGGAAGCCGAACTGGCCCTGCAGGTGAGAGATCAGCTCACTGAGCCAAGAGGACACACAACCAAGTGTAAGCAAGCAGTCCATCCATGCTCGTCATGCAGGGCAGGCCCTCGGTGCGGCCATCTGCCTTCCTCCTCCATGTGTGTGTGCTGCCTCACCCGATGTTGGTGATATTGTCAGACACGAGGACGAGCGACCGCCTCAGCGGCTCCTCAGTGGCGTCAAGTGCCACAGAGGCATCATCCATCTCCACTCTCAGCCTCATTCCTCCTTCTGCTACTGCGAGCTTAGCGGCGAAAGAACGATTGAGAGGCGGGAAATCACGAAGATCTGAGGCTCCTGGTAAGAGTTGGGTTACCACCAGGGTGCACGCTTCGCCATGTGAAAAGCGATTCATTCATCTGACGACATCTTTTGAATCCGCCGGATCTTGCTGCAGGGCAAGATGGTGAGCTGGGAATCGGTGCACCCGGAGGCGTATGGAGCTCCGGCAGGGAAGAGGGCATCCGACGACTCCACCGTCAATTCGGATGAGACCATCTTCGAAGATGCAAATCCTCCGCAAGACGAAGAGCATCCCATCTGCACCCATCGACTCATCGCCATGGGCCACGAGCACGCCTACTCTAAGCTCTCGACCGATGCTGCCACCTGGGACGACGATCTGGACCCCAAGACAGTCATCCCATCTGAGATGTCATCACTGGCTGATGAGGTGCCGGCGAAATCGAAAGGAGGCGAGAATGGCCTGTGGGGCAGGGCTGCGGGTCTTGTCTTCTGTGCCATGGCGGCTGTGCTGAGAGCGGTGTCATCTACGCTGGTGAAGGTGACTGCCGGCAAGACGAGCGTGTTGTATGTGCTGCTGGCGAGGGGCGTGACGGAGATGGTGTGTGGGATTGTGTGCCTGGCGGTGCAAATGGTGGTGGAGAGGAGGTGGATATCGCCACTCGGGCCGAAAGAGATCAGGCACCTTCTTGTTGTCAGGTCAGCTGCTCTTCGTGCCAGTCACCAATACATTGGTCGCTCTGTGCGTTAGGAGTATGTGGTGTGTTTGCTGGCTTGTGCAGGGCTGTGTGCGGGTCCTTGGCCATCGGTTTCTTCTTCTTTTGCATATCACAGCTGCCCATTGGTGACGCATCAGCGGCATCCTTCACGACCCCCATATTCACCGCTTTGGTGAGCGGACAGGGAGCCAGGGAGCGATGATACACTGATGCACGCCTCCCGTCGTGTGTGGGGTATATCAGCTTGCCTCGTGTGTCCTGGGTGAGCCGTGGACGACCGTGTGCACTTTGGCGGCTATGTGCTCTCTTGCCGGCGTCATCTTCATCGCTCAGCCAGATGTCCTCTTCCACCACGGCAGCATCCAGCCGCATGAAAGCATCGTCGGCTCGGCGACCCCTGTGGTCGCTTCCCGGGTGGTGGCCGTCCTACTGGCGCTGACTGGTGCACTGGCAGGTACGCTCATGTGAGAGAAGAAGGAAAACCCGGCAAGGCACACATGAGTGCCAAGTCTTTTCCCTTTTGTGTAGGTGGGACGGCATACACGGCGACCCGGCGGATCGGTCCGCGAGTGTCGGCGGTAGTGCTGGTCCTGTGGATCAGCACCATGATAACACTCGCCAGCACCGGGCTCATCGCCACACTGGCACCCAACGACAGCATCTCCAGTAGCGGGGATGACGGTTTCTCGTTGTATGGATGGCTTGCTGCCGTTGGTGTGATTGGGTTTGGGGCCCACTGGTGCCTCAATCGGGGGCTGCAGATCGGCCAGGCCGGGCCGGGAGGTCAGCAAGATGGCAGGAGGGAGACGAGGGATTGTGTCTGTCATGTCGTGGATGGCATTCTCGTGTGGGTTTGTTGGTGTCATTCAGCTTTTTTGATCAATCTGGATGTGGCCTTCGCCTACATTTTGCAGGCAGGAAGACACACGCGTGTATCCGGTGTGTGCCGGTGTATTCACTGCTATCTCTGTGTCTGTGTGTGTGTGCAGGTGTGTGTGTTGGGTCGTGCACTTGACCAATGGAGTCTCTATGGTGCCCTGCTGATTGTGGCGGCGGCGTCGCTCATGATTGTGCAGAAGATGTATGCACACAAGGAGGGCGGGGAGGGATAGGAGGCCGTATTTATCATATATGTGTCAGTGCCTTGGAGGCAGGCAGCGACACATATGGAATGGCTGGTCGGGGTGTGCCTTTATCGGCATGTATGTCATTACGTGTACGTGTGTGGCCGTCTCTGTGTCTCTGTTTTGGTCGGTTTGAGTGCTTCGCTGAGGTGTAGCTGGTTGGGATGGGTCGATGTGTGGACGATGACCGATATGTGGACATGGGTGAATTGACTGACCGGTCCGCCATCGATCCTTTGGCTGTCCGTCGCGTACACACACGAACAGACAGGCTGTCAAGCAAGCCATCGGCAGAGCTCACCGCCCCCCTCCCACCTCTCGCACACTCCTGCTCGCTCGCAGCACGATTCAACTCGCCCTCCTTCACCGCATCAACACCATCAGCCACCGCCACGTGGCACCGCTTGGGAATGGGCGTGTCGGCGCTAGAGGCGCGAACCTTGGGTGCTGGGGGCGAGGGCATCTTGGGAAGGGCTGGGGAGGTCTTTGCAGCGGCTGGGGGGGTTTTGGCGACCAGACGGGCGGACCCGGGCGTGTTGGGGATGGACGCCTCCGTGTCGGACTCGCGAGCCCTTTTGCCGCCAGCAGTGGTCTTGACCGTCGTGGGAGGCGTCAGGGGCACCACTGTCACTGCCTCGCCCTGCACCTCCTGCTGCGGCTGGACCTGCTGGACTTGCACCTGCTGTTGCTGTTGTGTTGCACCACCGCCGGTGTCTCCGTCTCTGTCTCTGTCTTCTCGGGTGCCTCCTCCCTCTGTTGTGTGAGCTCCTCCTTCTTGACGGGCGGCTTTCCCTTCTCCAACATCTTTGAGCAATACGGGAGCCGCTGGCTCCGATCTCCCCACCCGCCTCGTCCGACTCTGCTGCCTCATCATGTCGCGTCTGTTGCTCTTTGACACTCTCTGCTGTCGGCTGGTCTCTAATCGCCAGCACACGGCACCACCAGCTGTAGCGGCAGCGTCCTTGCCTTTGCTCCTCACACCAACGCCACTCTTGGCCTTGCCCAGCACCCCCAGGCCCTTGTGCTCCCTCTCCCTCTTGGCGTCAACACGCTTCAGCCCCTTCCTCACGCCCACACCGCCCCAGCCACTCCCCTTCACATAGCTGTCCGTCAGCAACGGGTCCGGCGGCCAAT